ATCTATCTATCTATCTATCTATCTATCTATCTATCTATCTATCTATCTATCTATCTATCTATCTATCTATCTATCTATCTATCTATCTATCTATCTATCTATCTATCTATCTATCTATCTATCTGATATAATAGCGTAGAATATTAAAGCAATGAAACAACATGGAGACGTTCTAAAGTAGAACTACACATATACTAATCGATAATGCTGTGTGTTGATACAAGCGACATGAGAGTTTATCGATTATTATATGCATTCCCCATTTCTAAATACATTTTGTAATCTCTTTTGTTCACGAAAGAAAGGCAGCATAAAATCGTGACGATGCTGCCGACATAGAACTATGTATGGAGTCGCTTTCTAGAATATCGAGACGGCTCCTAGTTGCGTGTCATCATTGGTTTCATTATGAACCAGATTTTGATTACTACAATCATGAATAGTCCAGTATTCAAATACCAGTGCGGAAGAAAAGATTAAGGACTCTATTGAGGGGCGCCTAAATATCTCCAGGTGCTGCCTGATTTGCTTCAGGTTAATCCGGCATTGGCAACGAGTACCAATGTAGGCAGCGCAGAGGGTTTTGAAAACCCGAGGCCAGCGCTCAATTGACATAAATAATTTATGAATCAATACTATTGATTAAATAGTGCACAGCTACATTTTTATGTTAAAACGCTTTCTTGGAATCCATGGAATAATGAAAGTAATTGGCTACACGTAGGTAGCCACACTGCTTTTTGATATGCACGGCTTAATTGCCAATGTTACTGAATGCAATACTTTATCAGAAGCTGCAAAATGTGTTTGTAATTTAACAAACGAAACAAGTTGTGTAGTTACAGTAGGGTGACCAAATGGGACACACCCAAGTCCAAGGAGGGTTTTGGGGGGAGGGGGGGGATACCCTCCAGCTAAAGAGGGATCCGGGGGCCTCCGCCGGAAACTGTTTATTGAAATATGCTCATTTTAACTATTTTGAGACCTAGAGATCTTTTTTAAATTTACTTTCACTTTAGTAATTTAATCTAAACTCCGAGGCATATCATAAACGAAAAGAATAATTTTTGCAGTGAATACTTATTTATTTATACATATTTGACAACATAATAAGAATACAAGACAACAATTAAATTTCTCTAGTCTAGGATTTAATTAAATTAATGCTATTTGGCTGTTGTCCCAGCCATTGTTAAAGCCTCCTTCTTAGATAATATAAAGTGGTCAAAACTTGAAAAGTCCATTTGGAAAGAGTATCCACTCTCATCTTGTTGTTTTCGTCCGTCCAGGGACACTGTCGTTTACGCAGCTTAGGCGGAGTGGTGGACGGGGGGGGGGGGGGGGGGGGGGGGGGGGGGGGGGGGGAACAGTGCAGCCATCACTCGAGCCGACATCGCTACTGGCACTGGCGACACGGCCAGCCAAAATATTACTTGAAGTTATATTATAAATTAGGAAGTTTTAGTGATTTGAAAATGTGTTTGGTTTTAGAAACGGGGGCATTGAGGCGCCCCGAGAGACTTTTTCGGGACACCGGGTACGATCGTGAATAAAGCGGATCACGTTTTTACGGGACATTTGGTCATCCAAAGTTAAAGGCCTGTTGAAAGAAATACTTACAAAAACAAGCTGTAAACGTTATTGTTAGGTAACTTAATTTAACAGAGAGTGAACCATTGTGAAAGTAGAGTGTTGATATTGTAAGAGATCAAATTTATCGACAAGTCTTAGTGCTAACAATGCAATAGGGCCATTTCTTCTTCTTCTTCTTCTTCTATATCTTAAGGGCCCACGATCAATTTATTGATCATTTTGGCTCCTATCATTTGAGGACTGAGACAAGATGCAGAAACGAACTGACGGTAGGGCAATACATGTCACATGCCATAGGAGCCAAATTTTTTTTTTCTTTTTCAACGAGCCTACCTTTCTTTGGGGAGGCTAAAATGCTGCTCAGCATCGCCTTCTCTTCTGTCTTTGTGCATCATATGGTATATATTAAATATATGAAAATAATTTTTTTAAGCTTCATAGAGGCGAAATTTTGTTCTTGTCTTGGGCGTCCTCGGTACGCTTCTTCTGTGATGAGAAAAGTGTTATTTAAAAAAAATATATATATAATCACATCGTATTAGTTTCAGTAGCTGGACATCATAAGTTAGAGTCTGAGCTTCGCTGCAGGGGCCAGAAGCAGAAACGATTTTGTACGAAATCAGCAGACATTTTATTCGAGAACTTGTTTTAAAATAAGATCTAAAGAAAGCTCCTATTCACGGGGGACTACATAAGATGGCAATGTCTTTTCGGTGCCTTCCATTATGTTTTATTAAATCAAATTTTATTTTGACTAGATTTTCAAATAAATCAAAAATATATTTTATTTTAACATAAAGGATTTTTCTTTTCCATTCGAAGCAATGGACCGTGACACAGGTACAGATTTCGAAGAGATGGCCACCGCCTGTGCCCATTGCATATTTAGCAACGACCAACTACGATTATCCATGTCCAAAATCAAAGAAATCGAAATCAAATTACGCGATGAATTGAATGAGGTTTCTGACTTTCCAGAAGAAATAATTACAATGCTTAATTTTTACACGTGGATCCAATTTAAACTTGAAAATGACAAAAAAGCGAAAGAAACCAACGATGAAGCTCTCACCCGGACATACTGGAAGAACATCACTTCTATAGTAAGCCGAGCTTATATTTTATGGACAGACGGAGACGACATAGAGGCCAAGCATTGTTTAGCTAAAGTGGAAGTACTAAAAAAAAGCAGTGAAGGTGACAAATTGATGACTGAAGTTGAAGCTGAGATGGTTTACGCTTACAGCAGGTTAGGGGGCGCAGAAAATTTGACCCATGCCATTGAATTGTATACAAAGGTTTTGCTAATGCAACCCGATAAGTATTTTTGGAAATAAAGATTGGGATTAACTTACAGACGAGCAACTCATGGGAATATCTCTACGCTAATGAAATCCAATGGTCCTTTTTTAGAATATGTAAAGAAGGCTACGGAACTGCTTTTTGATGTGGCGCAAAATTCTCCACACACACTTCTTCGTGCTCGAGCACTTTCACAGCTAGCAGTTATGCGTAGCCACACGGATAGAGTCCTAAAAGACACTAATTGTGATGATATATTCAGAAATAAAGATGTGATGAGTCTGATTGAAGAAGCCCGGAGCTATGGATCCAAAGATGCAAAAACACTATCTGAATGTGGCCGTACCTTACGCTATATTAATCTAGAAGAAGCTACAAAGCTACTAGAGAAATCTCAGGGGTTGAAGAAAACCTCAATTACTCTACACAATTTGGGCTTGTGTTATGAAAGCCTAGCTAAAAAAGAAGAGAAATCTACAGTCACAAATTTGATTGTAAAATGTCCTCCTAAAGTAACTCCTCTGAATAAGAAAGATACTTTAGTGGGTAAAGCCATTGAATGCTTCAACCAAGCGATAGAGATCTCATGTGGCAACAACAACCCAGCTCGCTACAGCCTTGGACTCATACTGAGAGCGTGTGGGGAACTAGGTGACGCCATCATCCAGTTTAACAAAATCATTCACCATACCTCAAAGAAGCGTGTGCCAGGATATAAAAAGAGTGAGGGGAAATAAAACAGAGCACGAATATCTAATCACTGTTACTTGCGCGTACGAGCAGGCCGGACTCTGTCTTTTAGAGCAAGCGACAGAACACGGGAAAACAAAAGAAGACATTCAAAATTTTAATGAAGAAGGCGAGAACAGACTCATGAAGGCGGTGAGTTTGGCCGCCATGTTGTCCAATCTTGAATCTGAAATGGACAGATACAAAAATCAAATATGGAACGGTTTCAAAACCCTGGAGACACAATACGAAGAACTGCAAGACTCACCTCAGGCCGTTAAAAAGTATCTCAGTCTGTTGACACGTGTAAGTAAGCACGAAAAAATTCTAGCTGTCATTGAAAAACTTCGAGGTATGAGCAAGGAGGAACTCACTGACCCGGTGATCATAAAATCTGGACTTGAAAGCTACCTTGCGTTAAAAAAGTACGAATCAGCTTTTGCATTCCTCAATTTCGTCATGACGACACAACCACTTAACGACGGTCTGCGACGACTGGAGTCGGTGTTTTTACAAGTTCGTCTCAGCGCGGCAGCTTCACGACTCCAGACACGTGACGGAGATGCCAAGATCATCCTTAAACCCTTGTTTGAATCTTACCTCGAGAAGGGTAACGTAAGATCGAGAGATGACCACCAAGCGGAACAAGTGGGGGAGGATGTGGGTGTCTCAGAGGAAGTTCAGGAACAGGACATAACAGATGTTCTGATTTTATATGACAGAAGTGATGCAGATGCAAGCGATGCTCTTCTGGTGAAAGTCAAGAAGTTACAAAACATTATGTCCGATGATTTTGGAATGGACGTCAGCTTAATCGACGATGTAAGACAAACTTTTATTTTTTTAGAATTTAGAGATTGTTTGTAGGTCTTATTCTGATATGTTTATATTCCCCACAGGACAAGGAGGATAATTTTTTTTAATATGGGGGGGGGGGGATTAAAATAAAAACTAAATAAATTGAAAAATTTAAAAAAGAACAAATAAGTAGAAAAAAAA